TCCCGGAAGCATAAATTTTAGCATAAGGATTACTAGAGCCGTGTAGGAAATAATCAGATCTAATCCAATCTTTAGGAATGGGTGAATGATAAGTCTAAGGAAAAGCTATAAAAATCATTGAGCCCACTTTGATGGGTCCATGTGTATGTCCCTGTGTGTGCTTATGTTTCCATATTGTTTGCATGATACCCGTGATAGTTAACATGGACTGTCAGCTTGACTGCTTCTTGGGTTGCCTCTGTATGCTGTGTGCATCTGTCTTTGGCAGGCGTGGCACATTACTGATGCTTCTTCCTCCAGCCACCAACGCAGCATCCATTCACTTGATTCCCATAGCTCTGCTGTGCAACAGTCAGAGACGCTTTGCTCTCCAACTCACTGGCTGGCCTTCTAGAGTTTTTTTTTTTAATCTTCCTGGAAATGCTCACAACTGCGTTAACTCTTCCAGTCTGCCACAGCTATAAAGATGGTATGTGTAGACACACTGAAGTCTCCTGGTGGAGTAAACTGTTCCTGGCCTCAATGAGTCCATGGCTATCACTGAACATAAGAAATAGAATACGTTGAGCCTATGACGGTTTCTTTGAGCTCCATTTTGAGATGAGTCCATAACAAAAAGTCTTGGAAACTTATCTGTGTTTCTGCACTTAACGCCTTACAGGGTGTCTGATGTCGTCGCTTTGCTGATTTCTGGGGAGCCTTCTGAGGCATCTTTCTTATTATCCTGGTGTGTCAAGGTGACATAAGACACAATTGCTAACACTTTAGCAACAGTAACCTCCTTGAAAATCTCTCTCTCTTTCTCTCTCTCTCTCTCTCTCTCTCTCTCTCTCTCTCTCTCTCTCTCTCTTGGCTAAACTACTGATCTTTCTAATCTTTCTAATCTCACTGTGAACTGATAGCAGCCAGTAATTCCTCTGCTTTGATGTCCTAAAATCTCTGCGAGGTATGTGGCGTGAACCTAGATTTGAGAATCTGTCAACCCTCATTTTAAAAAAGCCATCCTTTGGCAGTGGATACTGATTACCATAGAAATCCACAACCGGTTAAGAGGTAGAGAAGTAGAGCCCGAGTAATCTTGAGTCCTAAACGAGACGCGGATTTCACATCTCCTCCTCCCAAGGCTCAAGGATCATTGCAGAAGAGGAGGTGGAAAGATTACAAGGGCCAAAGGTTCGTATTAGGACACAGGGCTTCCTGGGCATAGCAGGGGGTTACAACAGGGATTCACAGCAGTAAGATGGCATGCACAAAGCCTGCACAAGTTCAAGCAAGTGTGGAGAGGGGAGGTGGGCATGAAATCCCTCCACAGCTAAGGAGCTCTGGGCAATTGATAGTTTCTGGAAGAGAGAGTCAAGTATCTTTAAGGGTTCAGGCTCTGGTAGCTAGAACACCCTCTACCTACATATCTAAGAGTATATGGGCAGCATAAACTGACTTAACGGCTTCAGGGGAGGTGTAGAGGATAGAGTTGGGCAGGTTGGGAAGGGAAGATCTAGGAGGAGTCAGGAAGAGGCAAGTGAGATCAAAATATATGTACAAAGCTATCAAAGAACTGATAAAAATGAAAAAAAAATAGAGAAAACTATCAATGCCTGTCAGATAAACCAGTTCATTGCCTTTAAGCCTGGCTACTCATAAAGTGCTACAAGGAGGATCAAGTCTTTGCCATGGCATTCTAAAAGAGGCTTTTTTCCAGTTCTACAAACAATCCGTGTTGCCATCTGAAATGTCGCCAGCATGAGGTTCACAGTCCACGTTGCTATCAGCATTCTGCTCTTCAGACCTGTCACCACTATCTCATTCTGATTTATTTTTTTATTTAATTTATTTGTTAAGATTTATTTTATCTTTAATTGTGTGTACATGTGTGTATCTCTTTATGACTATACACAAGTATGTATATGTGTGTGTGTCTGTGTATGTATGTGCATGTGTATATGTGTGTGTGTGTCTGTGTATGTGTATATATGTGTATGTGTGTGTACATCTCTGTGTGATTATGTACAGGTGTGTGTATGCATGTGTGTGTGTGCCTGTGTATGTGTGTACATGTGTGTATACGTTGAGGGAGATATTGAAAATGGCGGCTCGCAATCCGGCTTGTTCTTAATCAGCCACCATGTTTCTGACTAGGCTAGGCCTGCGTGCTGCTTACCTCAGGTGGCCAGAGACACCGGCCCTGCCACCCACAAGACACCATCGTAGGAGATGGCTCTGCCAATCTTCCACACTGTTTCCACAAGGTTGGGCTAGGTCCAGACCATCCGTCATCCATGAGGTACCCGGTAGAAATGAGACTCTAATGCTTAGATTATCCAAAGACTTTATAAGTTTGACAATGCTCAATAAACAAGATGCTCACACAATTGGAAGTGTTAACCAATTAACTAACCTAGATACAAGTTGTTACCCAGGACTGCTCTCAATACATGCATGGTCATCTATGGTTCCTACATATCTGCCCCTTAGCTCCTCCTCCTCCTTCTCCTCTTCCTCTCTTTATTCCTCCCACCTTAGCTCCTCCCAACTTGTGGGGAAAATATGCCACTACATGTATATATGTGTGTGAGTTTATTTTCCTTTTTAAAAATGTGATATCCAGTCAACCAAAGGCAACTACATTAGTCAGACTTTGAATCACTGGGACACAATAATTTACACAATTAGGTCAGAGGAGGAAATTTTTATTCTTTTTCCTTTTTTTCTTGACTCATTGTTTCAGAGGGGTTAGTCTATCATGGTGAGGAGGGTGTGGTCAAGAAGCACAGAAAGAGATACAGAAACCAGGGCAAGGCTTCCCTTACCAGTGACCTTCCTCCTACCAGTCCCCACATTCCACTGTTTTACTCTCTCCCCGTAGTCTTTAAGTTTTGAATCCATAAACGGATGATACTATTATTAAGTCAGATCCTCCTGATTTGATAAGAATGCCCTCACAGCTACATTATGCAGTATGCTTTACTAATCTGTTAGATATTTAATTTTTTAAATTTTTAGTGTTAGGTGTGGTGGTGCTGGTGGGTTTTGCCTATATATATATTTCTATGCACTGTGGATGTGCCTGGTGCCTGCAGAGGCCAGAAAAGAGCAGCAGATTCCCTGGAACTGGAGTTACCTATGTTTGTGAGCAGCCATGTGGTTGCTGGGAATTGGACCTAGGTCCTGTGGAAGAGCAGTCAGTGCTCTTCACCACTGAGCCATCTCTCCAGCCCTCTCTTGTTTATTGATTCAGCAGAATGACAACCAAGGTTAACCATCCCAGGATTAACAGAAGATGAAATGTCAGAAAAGGATGAGATATGCTCAGAAACTAAGTTGATTTTCAGCTGCATTATCGTGCTGGACCATATTTTATCTTATAAACAGAGGGAAGGCTTCTGGCTGTGGGGGAACAACTTGCTTTTAGAAGGAATCAGAGTAGAGGTCACCAGGTTGCTTCTCCTTTGAGACTGAAACCTAATACCCACATCTACATTTCTAGTCATTGCCCAGATGATGCCCATGTCGGAGACGGGAGATGGGACTTTGGGAAGTACTATAGTGGAAGGAAGGAAGCCCCAGGGGGAAGTTGATGACCAGATCCCCTGCAACAAGGCAAAGCCTCCACTCTCACAACCAAGCTCACTTCTGGAACTCACACATATTCCTGTTTAGTTTTGTGTGGGTTTCCTTTATCTTAGTGCGGTGGCTGGTTCTAATGACAACTTGCCTCAAAGCAGCGACGAATGAACGGAGAGCCTCAATGTCCTCGTCATCTCAATTGATATCGAAGAAGCTATCTTAAGCCTATGCAGCATTTCTGATAATAGGCCTGGGTGGGCCGTGTGGGGGCAGAGCAGAGGGGGCATCATTTCCCTTCAGCTTGCTTGGCCTTCCGTCTACCCCTTGCTGCTGCTGCTGCTGCTCCTGCTGCTTTTGCTGCTGCTGCTGTCTTTGCTGAAACACAGCCTAGTATTTCCAAACTTCCCTTGTTGACTAAGGGCCAGGGACTCTTCAGGAACCTTCCAGGTATATAGGAACCATTCCTATATCAGCTCTGTTCCTCCAGAGGACGCTGGCCAACACACTTGTTAAGTGAAATTTATAGTCGTTATTTTGGACTAGGCTCTTGTCTCAGAGCTCTCTCTGGGAGATCAGACCTGGCCAGAATAGTCTCTTATGTTCAATATATCACTTAAGCAAACTGGCTTTTGAAACGTCCTGCTCCTTCTAACCAAAACAAAAAACAAAACAGAACAAACAAAACATCAATCAGTAGGGCCCTGTTACCAGAAACAGACAACAGACAGGTAAATCCTCTCGGAATGCAACTTTGAAGCATTCATCTTCTGAGCCTTTCCTTTTTTTTTTTAGGTTCATTTTGGCCAATACTGCTCACCTCAGGGAGTTCTTATATTTTATAGAATATGTCGCTGTCTAGATTCCAGAGTCATAGTTAGCCAAACTGATCTTTAAATTCATTTGTTTTTTTCCCCCTTTATCTTTGCCAATGTAAACCAGTTGAGCCAGATCATAATCTGTTTTTCTTTTTTTTTTTTTTAAATCGCCGTCTATAATTGCTTTTTAAATTTCCTCTGCTACACATAACTTTCAATGTACATAGTTTAATGCTGCAGAAGAGGACCTGCAGGGAAGTTAAAAAATAACTGCGGATTGATGAATGCTTGAGTCACAGGAAAGGGACAAGTGACTCTGCCATTAAGTCAAAGGACGTGTCACTAATCTTCCCTTCAGGCTGTCAGTTTGCGCTCATCCCGGGCCCTTTGCACGATTCTAGTAAACTTTCTGGTCCGGAACAAAGTACGAAGGAAAGCAGGAGAGGACGCTTCGCCCCGCAGCAGCATCAAGAAGCGCCCGGAGGGGGTGTGGGGGGGCGGAAAGGGGGCGGGGCTCGTACGCGTCGACCACGTGACCGCCGCGACCGCGCGGGTCCGGGTCGCGCGATCCGCCGTCACATCAGCTTATGGCGCCGGCCGCTGATTGGTGGGCTGTCTGCACGTGGGCGGGGCTCTGGTAAGCGGGTGGTGTCTGGGGCTCTCCGGCTCCTGGACTCCGCTGGCGGTATAGCCGAGGCTTACGGAGCCGCTGGGCCTGGCAGGTAGGTTGGGTGCGGTGGCAACTGGGCAGCGGTGAGTAGGAGGACCTGCGGGCGATCGCGAGGGATCCCCGGGTGCCCGGCGCTGGTACGGCATCCTCCGCACCTGTGTGGCTGTCCCTGCTAAAAAAAAAAGCGCAGGTGGCATTAGGGGGGTGGTGGCCTAGCAGACACCTTGGGCCCTGGGGCCTGCGATGGAGGGACAAGGCTATGTGGAGGTGGGGAAAGACCCTGGCCCGGGAGAGCTGGGTCTCTGTCAGTGCTGGAGGTTGCCTGCCTGCTGTGGACCCCACATCCAGGGTGAGGTGGGAAACGCTGGTGCTTTGGCTTCTCCCGGAGAAGGCACCAGGTTGTGAAGCAGCGTCCTACTGCGACCTAGGGAGGGTGGTGAGCCTGGCCTCCCTGCCTTTTTGAAGACTACAAGCGGCAGTATGCTCCCTTTAAGCATCATTAAGAAGTCGCTCGTACCGGCATCCCTGCTTTATTGCTGAGTAAATGGAAAGGTGGTACAAGCTGGAAACACGGCCTCGGCGGCGGCAAAAGTTACTTAGTGAACACTTTGGGTCTTAGCTGAGTTGGCATTTTCATCCGTTGTTGTGTGAAAGTGCTTGCCTTCTGAGCCTTGCTCTCTCTTCTTTTTGCATTCATCCTGTAATATAATGCATGTGGAGAACTCAGAATACTCTGTCCGTCTGTGTGACTCTAGGGAGGTAATGCTGTGTAGAACAGGTACTGGGTTTTACATGGCATCAACTGCGCCTTACAGGACAAAGTTGTTTAAGTGATTGCGCCTTCACGGTCCTGTGAATTAAGATTATAAGAACGCGTACATACTTTATAGACTTGGGAGAATTAGATGGGAGGACCTCTCCTTTACCCCTCCAAATGTGTAAAGGCCAGATGAGAGGTACTGCAGAGTATCCAAGAGTTCAGGAGACTACCAAAATATGGCCTAGGAGAATCAAGTTCCAGGTCACATACCCATAGAGGGTAGGGGGCCCTGAAATAATATGTAGTGGGTTTTTTTTTTTAAATATATAAATGCTAGCTATTGTTTCTGTGCCTTTTTTTTTTTAGTTAAGAAAACTATGATAGTTTCAAGTCACTTAAGTATAATAGTGAATTTATGTATTTATTTACATATTTATCTGATGCTGGGGAAGGAACCAAGTCTTTGGACATACTAAGCCAAAGGGATATTACTGAAGTACATGCCAAGCCCATTTAATTGATAACCATGTTTTAAAGAAAAAATTGTTTTTTTTTTCTGCAATGGCAGTGTAATATTTAATGTAAACTTCAGTTTCAAGCAATAATATCTAATTAACTTAGAGACCATGGGCTCTTTTTGACTTTAAGAGGTTGAACCCTTAAAATTACATACAAAATTATAGGACCATGTGGGTGTTTATCACTGGATAGCACTTGATACCGGTTAAATTGTTTTGTTGTTGTTTTGATTTACGAGTGGCACTTGTGATAGAGAATTGAGCACCTGACATTTAATGTGAATTTATTTTTTTCAGGATGAAATGAGAGAAAACACTTGTGGCTCATTCCCTAAGCAAAGGGCTAAGCTCCTTAGCAGACAACTCCTAGCTGGGGTTGATGCTACAAACCTATGTTTTTGGCCACTCAGGAAACTGCAGAGGGAGAGTGGCCTGAGTCAGAAGCTGGAGGGAGAGGGGCAGGGGTAGGAGACACAGAGCATTCACAGGAAAAGTGTATCGTGTTACAAATAGACGAAGTTGTGCTCAGTATCACTTGCGGTAAATATGGAGTCAATATGCACCAACGTATCTTTTCATTCCTGTCGAGTTGAAGATACTCCAGGGGTTGTGGAGAAATCGGCACCGTCCTCCATTGTTTGAGGATTCACCAAGCCGTTCAGTACCTGTGGAGATCAGTTGAGCAGCCTGCACCCAGGTTTCCACACACGGCTTCTCCTTGAAAACATCATGCCTGGAGAAGTTTACTTAATAAAGGAGCAGTCATTGTGTCAAAGCCTGGAAGCCCTGAGATCCAAACAGTTGTTTTATTTTTAACCCCCATAGGTTTAGCCCTCCCCCTCATCTGATGGTCGATCCTGACTCGCCAAGTGACTGACCATCACAACCATTGCAACCGTCCGTTTCTCAGGTCACATACCAGGTATGCCTGCCCATGCCTTCTGGAGGTGTTTTGTTGTGTTAACTTTGCATTGACTTCCATATGAAAAGCTCGGAAGTGTCTGAAGACAGCCAGCCTGTGGGTGGCAGCAAGGATGAAGCTGCTGTCACTACCGCATAGGACAGTATTGAGGGGCTGCTGCTGTGTGCTATTTCTCTGAGACACCCTACTGACAGAGCCTAGGATCTAACAGCATACATGACTTATGGCAAGACAAATGGTTGGTGTTTGACTGGAAATGACTACCAAAATATGGCCTAGGAGAGAAAAATGAAACTCTAGCCATGTTTGATAAAGTAGGCTTGACAATACAAAAGTAAATAGATATCACCAGAGGCTGCGTTGATCCTGAAACCACAGGGCATGAAAGCCGAACTGTTATAGCGTGTTAATGTCAATTAGGCCGATGCACGCTAATAGCTACATTAAGAAGGGAGGGGTTAGAATTAAAGGAAGTGAGACAGTAGAAAATATCTAAAAGTCTTGAAGGCCCTTGGGAGCTCTCCTTATGCCCAGACAAGTCTTTTGTATCTTCTTCTCCTTAACTTCATGCTAATAAGGTTGTTTACAGCATTTTCTTTTGCTCCACTGTGACTACAAGACACCCTTTCTCACCAAGCAGTGTTGTGCTTAGAAAAGCAAGCATTTATATGGTGCCTGCATAGTTAACAGAGGCCTGGCAATCATAATTTCCTAGGATCATTCATCCATAAAGATCGATTCTTAAAATTACTTCCTGTACGAAATGGTGTCAGTAGATGAGCAGAAGTGTTTGGTAGGGCCAGAGAGATACCTCTGCAGTTACAAGCACTTGCAGAGGACCCGAGTCCAGCTTCTGTTTTGTTCTCATCAGGCATCTTACAAAAGTCAATATATTCTCTTATCCTCTGCAGGCACCCGCACTCATGTGAGCAACAGTCAGGCAAACGTACACATAAAATAAAAATAAGTCTTAAAAGGAAATGTTTATTATGTGAGCAGACAGGGAAGAGCCAGCCAATAATTGGAAGATTTTTTTTCCGTGTGTGTGTGTGTGTGTGTGTGTGTGTGTGTGTGTGTGTGTATGGGCACTCTTGCACGTGCGAGGGTCAAAGGACAACTTCAGTTATTGTCCCTGGGTGCCTTTCATCTTATATGTGAGATAGCATCTTTCATTGGGTTAGCTGAGTTAGCTGACCAGGAATTCCAGGGTCCTCCTGTCTCTCCTTCCACTCTTGCCATCAGTGGGATTATTTAGACACAAGCCACCATGCCCTACTCTTCACCTGCGTTCTGGGGATCCAAACTCAGGTCCTCAGATTTGCGAGGCAAGCACTTGGTTGACTAGGCCATCTTCCCCAGCCCAAGGGAAGGATTTTTCTAACACTAAAAAGACATTGATACTTAACCTCCTCAGACCGTGAATAACTCCGGGAGGCTACTCTTGAAATGCTAAACAGTGATCACGTTGTTCTGGTGGCGTGATTGAAACGCTGCCTTCCGGAAAGTTAGAGTGTGCCAGAGGATAGGATGATAGAACGGGTAGCTACAGTGTGAACCTTCATGGGGAAATCACTGAAGGCATCTGTGGTAATAACTAGTGCTTGAGCCACAACTTAGGATGAGAAACGGAGAAGAAATCCATTCCAAGGCATCTCCCAATGTGTCGCAATGTCATTTGGGAATCTTGACCCTGCCACGTGATCAGTGTCTAATTGCCACAACGTTTAAAATGGGAAGAGGTCAGACTAGAGATGATCTGTTGATACTCTCTCTGCTGCCAAAGATGCCACCCAGAGAGGCCGGTGGTCACACCTGTACAACGTAAGGTTGTTCTTAGTCTGGAAACTGTATACACGGCTTTGCAGAGATGTCGTAGAGAGGCCAGGAGTGAATTGCCAACCCTTTGTCTCGCAGGGGCTGAGATGGACCTAGTTCTCAGTGCTGCCGACTACTACTTCTTCACGCCGTATGTATATCCAGCCACGTGGCCCGAGGACAACATTATCCGACAGACTGTTAGTCTCCTGATTGTCACAAACCTGGGTGCTTACATCCTCTACTTCTTCTGTGCAACCCTCAGCTATTATTTTGTCTACGATCATTCATTAATGAAACACCCGCAGTTTTTAAAGGTAAGAGATTTTTTTTTTCCAGCTTCCGTTACCATAAAAATAATGTTATATTTGTGAGTCTTTGAGTAAGATGGAAATAGAATTTTTGAAATCAAGCCCCTGAAGGGGTTGGCTATTTTTATAAGGGTTAGTCACTTCTTCCCTTCTTGTATTCTAACAACTAAGGGGACCTAGTTGTTTTCTGTTAGCCTGGAATCTTACTTCACCCGGTACGTAGATGAGAATGATTTTACGGACCCTGATGAATGAGTGTACGTTTGTAATTATTTTGCTCATATGAATATTTTCCTCTCTAGCCTTTGTAAGCTGAAAGGCTTTGCCCATGTTTTTATCATGTGTGTTTTTCTGTGGCTGAGCCAGGGATCCAAGTCCAGCAGTTGAGACTTGTTCCATTTGATCAGGTTGGAGCTGTCCTCTGTGACCGTTGCTGGTATTTGTGAAATAGTCCCTGTGCTGAAAGGAGCTGGGGAGGGAAGTTCATTTATAGATTTATAGATTATTCCATAAACAGAAACTCAGCGTAGACATTTGGTGAGGAAGAGAAAAGAATTCAGAAGCGGAGGTACTTGCTGCTTTTGATAGGTATCAAGGGATGCTTTATAAAAGAGAACTTAGTGGACATGAAAAGTGAACTTAACAGTTAAAACCCACAGAGGACCCAGGTTTGGTTCATAGCACCCATGTTGACAGCTCACAGCTGCCTGAAATACCAGCTTCTTGGAATCTTCTGGCCTCTGCAGACAGAGCACTCATGTGCTCCTGTCTACACACACACACACACACACACACACACACATAAGGAAAAGAGAGAAAGAATTGAGGGGTAGGAACCTAGTTCAGCGGTGGAGTGCTTGCCTGATGTTGAGCCAGATCCCAAGAACAGACAGAACATTTAAAAATCCACCCCCAGTCAACTTTATGACAGTTTTGTTGAACAGATTGTTGTGACTTTTCAATAACTGGAACTTTGATCTTCAGAATCAGGTCTCTCGAGAGATTATGTTCACCGTCAAGTCTTTACCTTGGATCAGCATTCCCACGGTCTCGTTGTTCCTGCTGGAGCTGAGAGGTTACAGCAAACTCTATGACGACATAGGAGACTTTCCAAATGGTGAGCGACAGCAGGAGGCCAAGCTACCTCAATGTCATCTTCAGGATCGCTCTTCACCTTCTGTTTTTGTTTGGTTTGTTTTGGTTTGTTTGTGGTGAGACAGGGCCCCGATTGGTAGCCCTGGCTGGCCTGGAACTCAATTAAGAAGAAGCAGGCTGGCCCCAAACACACAGAGGTCCATCCACCTCTACCTCCCCAAGAGCTGGGATGAAGGGCTGTACCACCTGGCCAAGTCTAGACAGAGTCTCTCATTGGCTTAGAATTTACCAATTTGTCCAGTCTGGCTGTCTGTTTCTACCTCACCAGTGCTGAGATTCCAAATCCATATTAGTACACCTGGCTTTGTTGTGGTTGTGGTTGTTGTGGTTGTGGTTGTGGTGGTTGTGGTTGTGGTTGTTGCTGTTTCTGAGGATCTGCCAGCCTGCTTACCTTCCTCCCTTCTCCTCTCCTTTCCTTTCTTTCCCTCTTTTCTTCCTTCCCTCCCCACTCTGCCCCTCTTTTCCCTTTTCTTCCTTCTTTCTTGATAGAGTCTTGCTAGGTAGCCCAGGCTGGCCTTAAATGTGTAGAGTATGCCTCCATACAGCTACTTTCTTTAAGGCCAAACCTGCCTTTTTTTCTCTCTCTCTTTTCTTTGAAACTGTCCAGTTGTTCTGACTGTCCTGCCTTCTTCCCTGCATGTCTCGACACACGTGTGCACTTCCTTAACTCCTCTGTCATTTCTAAAGTCAGTTTTGGATGCATTGTGTGCCTATGGGGATGCCGATTAGGAGTGGGGCCTTGTATTGATTCCCTATGATTATTCAAACAGCTGGGAAAGAATTCCAGTAGTATGTGAGAGTTACTGAAAGTCACCCATCCATGTGTTCTTCTCCCTGTCTGTCATGTCCTCCCTTCCGTCTGTGCCGACCACTTCCTCGACTGCATTGCAGAAATGCAATGCTGCGCATGTGCTTTGCATTCTGATGGTTTTAATAAATATACTCACTGTTTCATATCTGTAAATATCGTCATAGAGTATATGAGATACAGCAGTTCATCGGCTCTGTCCAGAATTTAGAAATTGACCCTTACACTTAGAGCTTTAGATTTTAGTTTTCTTAAAAGCAGTCTTGCAGTGACTTCTCTACCATTCTGAAGTTACACCTCAAGACACTTTCCTGACACCCGGAACACAAGCAGGAAGAAAGGCATTTGCTGAGGGTGACAGGTCAGCAGCAGTCCCCAGCTCTGCCCTGGGTCAGCTCACTGCTTCCCCTCAGCAGCTCTGCTGAGTAGGTCTTGTTGCTAGGGTGCGCTTAGAAAGGGGCACAGTAGGGAACAGAGAATCAAGAACCTGCTTATAAGTCCAGCAAATAGATGGTGGGTCAGAGGCTTGAGCCCAGGTATGCTGATACCAGAGGATGCTCTCAAGTGGGAGGTTGGTAATTAGAAGAGGCTTTGACAGTGCGTGAGAGAATGAGCAAAGTCAAGGAGAGGGAGTTCTAGACACTGTGAGGACAGCGTGAGCCAGAGTCGGGGATAAGATCCCATAGACCCTGGGGGGAGGTTGAGTGCAAAAGGAGAAAGTTCCAGGAGGAGGAGGCTGGAGATCCCAAAAAGTGACTCATTATGGAGTGAGTGTCTAGAGCTGACTTGTTTGGTGAGAAGTTAAGCTCCAGGCAAGGAGGGAGTGCACAAGATTAGGACTTAGGAAAGCTGATACGAAGGGAAAGAGTGTGACTGTCCTCTCCATGGGCATCTTTGTAGTTTAATTAAGAAATACTCGTGCCAGAAAGATGGCTCAGCAGTTAGGAGAACCCAAGGTCAGATCCTCATACCCACATTGGGTGGATCACAGCTGCCAGTAACTCCAGCTAGAGGGAGCCAGAGCATCCGGAGTTCACCTGCACACACATCCACCTAATGAAACCACAATAAAGTTAATACCAGGGCTTGGTGGTGCACCACCTCTTTAATCGGGAGGCAGAGATAGGTGGATCTCTAAGTTCAAGTCCACCCTGGCCTATAGAGTGAGTTTCAGGACAGACAGGACTACACAGAGAAACCCTGTCTCAGAAAACAATAATAATAATAAAGTTAAATTATAAAATGAAAAAAAATAGTGTATGGGCCATTTTTATGCTTTTGCATAGCAGCTAAAAGTTTAAATTAAAAGTTACAAAATTAATGAAAGTTAGAACATGTCAAGTTGTTCCGTGAGGAGGAGGAGGAGGAGGAGGAGGAGGGGGAAGAAGGGAGGGAGGAGGAAGAGGAGGGAGGTAATCAGTTGTAGGTAGCAAACGGGGATGAACCTATAATGAATGAGGGGCTAACGTTTGGGTTTAGGATCCGCTTCTGCCTTCTGTGGCCCCGTGGAAAGGGAACAGTGGCCCTGGGAGCCCACCTCTGACTCCTGTTCTGTGTGCTCTCTCTTAGGCTGGATTCATCTCGTCATCAGCGTGATATCCTTCCTCTTCTTCACGGACATGTTGATCTACTGGATTCATAGGGGTCTGCACCACAGACTGTTCTACAAGGTAGAGAGTCATTCAGAGGGGAAAGGACAGGACGATGTCCCACACTTCAGCATTATACCTCTGTACTCCAGGTTCTAAGGACTTCCCTTGCCTTCCCATCAGCCGTCACAGGGCCCACACACATTTTATTTATATTTTTCTTTGTGGGTCTGGACTTTCTTACAGTTTTAACCTTGAGGGTAGAGAGGGAGTGACTTTGCCAATTCCAGTTAGGTTGTATCTGACCCAGGAGTGGAAGCTGAGTCTGCCCTTGCCTCAGGCAGAGCACATGGGTCTAACCTTATCTCTTTCTTCCCCAGCACATACATAAACCTCATCATATCTGGAAGATCCCCACGCCGTTTGCAAGTCATGCTTTTCACCCTGTGGACGGCTTCCTTCAGAGTCTGCCTTACCATATATACCCCTTTGTCTTTCCACTGCACAAGGTGGTCTACTTAGGTTTATATGTCTTGGTAAATGTCTGGACAATTTCCATTCATGATGGTGATTTTCGGGTTCCCCAGATCTTAAGGCCATTTATTAACGGGTCAGCTCATCACACAGACCACCATATGTTCTTTGACTATAACTATGGACAGTATTTCACATTGTGGGATAGAATTGGAGGCTCTTTTAAACATCCTTCCTCTTTTGAAGGGAAAGGACCGCATAGTTATGTGAAGAACATGACAGAAAAAGACTCCAACAGCCTTGCAGAAAACGGCTGTCAAAGCAAAAAATTATGCAATGTAGAGTTCACAAAGAACAAGTAGATTATTTCCCAAATTATTAACTATTTTAAATAAGAAAATAATCTACACACAGTCAAGATACGTAGCAAATAAGTGGTGTCATCTGAATGTCAGCATTGCCTGAGTGTCGTGCTGAGGAGTGGTCCTGACGGTAAACAGCAGGAAGGAAGATACTGGGAGCATCGTAATCTCTTGGTTAATTGTCCGACACTGGTCCAGGGACAACTTGTGTCTTTCCAGCCAGCTGATCTGCAGCCTGTACAGTCCCGACAACATCTTTAAATACGATAGAAAATACGCTGCTGAAGAGGCTGGTCTGTGTCCTTTTGCCTTAACCCACTCATATTCATTAAGGAAACCAATATCCCTTACACTTAACAATACTGAGACTAGCCAGGAAACCCTAACGTGAAGATGCTCTTGTTCCGGAGCGGCTGCCTCTGCAGCAGTGCTGGGGACTTGCAGGACTTCATTCAGATAGGAATATCAGTCCAAACAGGCCGATACATGAGTGGCAATGTATATGACTTACTTAATGGCTGATATAATAAGATTATATTTTCTTCCTATACGTAGGCATCTTACTCTCTGGGGCATTATCAGATATTAATGATGAATAAATAAATGGTAATTTTTTAAAATGTCAACTCTTCCACCATTCAGTACAGAGATAGGAAATTATTTAACCGAAGATCTTGGTGTCATCTTTTTTATTTTTTGGGGTTTTTTTTTTTGTTTGTTTGTTTGTTTGTTTGTTTTTTGTTTTTTTGAGACAGGGTTTCTCTGTGTAGCCCTGGCTGTTCTGGAACTCTATACACTGGGCTGGCCTCGAACTCAGAGATCTACCCACCCCTGCTGGGATTGAAGGTGTGCACCACCACTGCCCAGCTTGATGTGTGTCGTTTAAAATCGCTATTTAATAACCCTACAGATGTGAGTCTGGATAATTTGAGATGATATCTTCTTTAATAAAGTGGACACACTGTACTTTTGATGTGTTTCTCAGTTACAAAGCTGACTTTTTTTAATGAAGGAAATGATTGCCAAGCACTTAAGTCTACCTGAGATACACTTTTAAACCTCGTCCTCCATTTCTTCCCTCTCTTTCCACTGCCTCCGCAGAAAATAATGAAGAAAGGTGGATGTAGTAAGCTAAGTATATTTGCGAGGGGAGAAGATATGTTTTTATAAAGTTATTCTAATGGCTATTTATGCAAAAAAAAAACAATAAAAGTTGATCATGACTGCTATCATCCACTTAAACGTTATAGCGCAAAACACCCTTTGTATGCGTTGGTGTCACTTTGAAGGCGTAGAGGTGACGTGAGTTAGAAAAACTGAGAGCATCCCAGATGCTCAGAGTCACACTGTGCTGCGTGTCAGTCACTGCAACCGTCTCTTTCTCATTTGTTAGTGGACTTTATCAAGTGCTCTGAGGAAGTGGGAACAAGAAGGAAAGAGGCTCTGTGTCAGGATCTAGACTTCCTTTTTCCTGGATATACAACCCACCAGAACCCTGGGCTTTGAATACATCAGCGTCACTAAGACACGGACTGACCAGGATGTTGGATGAATCTGACACCTAGCTCTTAGCAGTGTGCTGTGCATACAAAAGGATCTTTGAGATACACTGTTTGCTACTACATCAAGAAACGGCACAGACACACAGACACACACACACACACACACACACACACACACACACACACACACACA